ACTAATGAAAAATGAAATCCTAAGAGCCGGCCGCGTTGTTTAGCCTTTTCTCCCAGTCACCTTGTAATTGTTTCTGTGTCATAACCAGAAAATGGTAATGCTCTGAGTAACTCATCTCTCCCAAAGAATGGCTCTCTATCACACTCTCACATTCTTTTAAAAGGGGAAAGGGAAGATGAATTTTGCCCATAAAGGCTGTATCACAAGAGCTTTTTATCCTAAATGGCTTTGGGGATTGTTATCTGTGGGAAGTGTGTCCTGCCTCCGTCGTGTTCAATCAAGTGTCCACTTAGCTGTGACTGGGAGTAATTGTTCCCAAGTGGGCCACACACTGACCTGTTAATGTCTGCAATGACCCTGTAACCTTGTCAGCACGTCTTGGGGAGGAGTTTAAATCATGTGGATCTCCTCCGTGTTTTTCTCTCCCGGGTCAAGTGGGCGTCGGTCCTGAAAGACCACTCTCTTGTAATTGTCCCCAGTAGCATGGGTCAGCTGGGGGTGTCCCCAAAGATTGGCTCTTATTAGATGAGGTACTGGAAGGGATGTGACTTAATGGGTCAAGCCATTGATCCGATACAGCACCAATATCCTTAGCTGCAGATTGGATCATTGGACTAACTCTAGCTACAAGTTACTGGAAACATTATTCTTTGACACAGCTAAAGGTGATCTGATCCCACTGTGGGAGAATGATAAAGTTTTTTTCTTCTTTTTTATAGGTAAACACCAACAATTAAACCTGTTTTATCAACTGAAATCCAAATGTCCCTCTGATCAAACGTGTAGGATATTCCACCCCCTAACAATAAATGTAACCCATTTTGTGGAAATCTCTTCAGTAAGTTATTATTGTAGCCATTTAGACATCCATCTAAGGACACTTTGCACTGTTCCTCACTTTCGAAAATGGGATCTTAGAGTTTTTCTTGCATTTACAGCCTGTTTCAAGTTTTCCTTTAAGCATCTCAGTTAGATCAGTTATCTGGACTTTCTCCCTACCCAGAACTTTCTAATTCCTCCTCAGCCAGTTCTCCAGGGAAGTACTGGGGTGGTTTGGGTTGTTTTACTGTTTCTTCGTCTCATATTTTCTTCAAGCTCTATCTGATGGAGGTAGAATAGCTGCTGGATTCTATGACTGTCCTGCTCAGTCCTGCTGCAGCAGAACAGCCACCTCAAACCTTGATGCCTGCTGCTCAATTCTTCAGTTGCTTTCCAGGAATGGGCTCAACAATTAGAATCTTGTCTTTATTTCCATTTTTCCAATAATGAAGACATTTTAAGTATAGATATTTAAAACAAAGGTGGAGGTGCAGTCCCTGCTGGACTTTCTCCTGAACAGTGTCTAGGTTTGAGGTCTAGGGTTGGACATTTATAATACAATCATAATATAGCAAAAAAAAAAAAAAATTCAAATCTGAGAGGAACCTCATTTCTTTTTAAATCCAGAAATCCATAATATTTTATTTTATTTATATTTCTATTGAAATGATATACGAGTGAAATTACAATATCTATCCTGCTCAGGCAAAGTTCTTGGTGTTGAAGGCCGAGCTGATGCCCTGGAGAACGTCCCTATATCTGCTTTTAAGGGTGAACTTAATAGATCTGATATCCAAATGCTGGCTTTTCACCATTTGTTGCCTATTTTCCTCCACTCCTTGCAGATGGATGGCTGATTTCTCATTATGTTGGAACCTTCTGAAACTCCTTACACACATAATCAGCTGCAACATTTGATTGTCATGTTTCTATATTAGGTTATTGATTTGATTAAATATCTGTAAGTTCAAATAAGTAAAAAAAAACAACCATGTTATAGGATGTGTGGGTTATGTTACATGGCTGCATTTATCAGAAGCTAATGAAACTATGACATCATTTCAGTTTTTAAAAAGAAATAAAGAAATGTAATTGTAGGAAATAGACCATATTCAAACATCTCACTACTATGATTTTAGTAAGACCACATGTAGTGGGTGCTTACCTCTTTCAGTCCATAAGTGGCCTAATAAGGTGAGATGGCAGAGAAAAGATTTTTGGATCAAAGGTTGAATAAAATCAAGATTTTTACAAACTACAGCCTTTACTGAATAATCTGTCATCCAGTTTGGGTTTGACCTTTGCATATAATATTAAGCTTTTCTAATTCAGTGGTGTCAGACAGAATTTGAATGTTCATGTTTAATATCCACTCGGTTTCACTCACTGGTAGGGAGTTGTTGATCAGTGACGGTTATTTTCCTATGAAGGGTTTTTCACCAGATATGAAATGCAGCAGGTGAACCGGCCTCGTTTGCTTAGCTAAAAACTGTAACCATAATTTGCACCTTCAGGAAGCCGATGTTAATCCAAGCCTGGATAGCTTCAGATATCCTTATTTGTTTCTAAACTGACAAATGAGTTTGCCGTTAACACATCCCATAAAGTCCCTAGTTCTACAGAAAGCCGCTTTCAATCTAAGTGAAAAAGTGAGATTACAACCACATGTTTTCAGAGGATGAACCAAGGAGCAGGCAGCTGGCATGCCAAAAAAGACCGCAGAATGGCTGCACTTTAATGCTAAAGGTGGTGTTTAGTTTTATGCAGTGTTTTTATTGACAAATGGCACCATAAGAAACACTTTTTTCCTAATTCAAGTGCTTGTTAAGATGCAAACTGAGAGCTAACATTAAAGTCAAAGCCGTCTGATGTTACCCCGACATTGTCAGTGAATATTTGCGGGTGATTGTTACACATCGCATGTGGCAGACATGGCAGAAAGGCCTTCTGTTGCTTCTTTGACTCGGACGCTGACAGAGATGCTACTGAGAGGGCCTCTGTGTTTGGCTCAGCGTATTTCTGGGTGCAATGGCAGGCATGCAGCAGAGCAATCAGAAGGGTCTTATCTGAGGCGGATGGAGGGCCTAGGAATGTGGACAGACTGTTGAAACAACGGCAACGCTAATGGGGTTAGCTGAATTCCAGCCTGCTGAATTATGAGGCTGTGGTTTGTTGTGTCTGCCTGCAAAGCTGCTCAGCCTAACTTTGAAGTAGGGTTATAGATTTCGTTTTTGACACTACTTTTATAGAGCAGACCAATTAACTCGGAGCTGGATTGTCGTGCCTTGCTGCTCAAAACTCGACCACATTAAACAGCAAACTTATATGCACATATCTCATGGGGCAACAAGCCACACATGCAGCTCTGACTCCTGTGACAAGGACAAAACCAGAACACATCAAATTCCTCTGCCTCTTTTGCATGATCTGAATTGTATAAGGAAGTTATTAGCATCTCTCCGCTTGTTTATCAGGCCACAGATGAATGCGTTTGAGCTTTCATACAGGCTTGTTTGTCTAGCTTGTCTCAGACGTTTCATAATGAGATGAATTGCTCATTTATGTACGGAAAAAGATCCGTCATGAAAAAACGTGGGGAGACAACTATAAGGCTTGAAAATTAAGTTTAATTTTAAGTTTGTGGTAATTTCATCGTTTGCTGACCAGTAGTTTGCATTTCAACATTGGTCACCTCACCAAACATATAAAAGGCAAGAAAAAAATATAATTTTTGATGTAGCAGCAACAAACACTGAAAATGTCTTTAATTTTCTAAACTTTAGTTTGAAACTAAAGTTTAAAAATCACCACAAATAGTGATTTTTACCCATAATGTCCAGTGGCACTTTGTCCCTCTTTCTTTAATGCTTTGTTCAACGCTCCATTTTGGCCACAGTCATTTCCTATAATAATTCCCTAGGAAGGTTCTATGAAAATCCCTCTCTTTTCCTACATCATCCTGTCCTGTTTAATCTTCTCCTCCGTTTAGCTCACCTAATTTTTTTTTTGTTTTAGGATTTTTGCCTGTGGGCTAGTATGGCCACAATGCAGGGTTGATTTTTGAATTTTTTCAAGGGCACGCCATATTTTCCAGTTGGTCTTTGGTCTCTTGTTGAAATATCAGGTTTTAGTTTTTTTCATCAGTTTTAGATTCATTAGTCATAATTTTAATTTATTATAAAATTGTTTCCAGGGTGTTAAGTACTGAAACAGTCCCACAGCGTTATAGATCCTCTGCTATATATTTTGACATATTCATCTTTGTTTTATACCTGACTCACCTGGAATGTTTGGTCAGATTAAACTATAAACAAGCTTTTCAGCAGCAGAGTAATTGGATCCAGTTTTATACAGACCTTAGAATTCTCTACATATTTGCGCTTGTGATGGTAGAACAAAAGAAAAAAGTTTCTTTCTGGTCTTGTGAGCCCTGTGCACCTGATTTTCTTACAATGATTTGAATAAATATGGGGGTTCCCCCCCAAAAAGACTTGATCTTTCAATTGAAAAGATAAAAATAACCTTAAAGCTTTTTATAGAACCTTGTGAAAGTTCCTGATTAATAAGCCTGCATCTCCAGCTCTTTCCTCTAGTAGAGTTGCTAAATGAACTTTTAGGTAGTTTATTTTTACTCATCTACCTCTAGATAGCTGTATTTGTTCTACAAAGTTAGGAAGAATCGATTTGGGTAAGAAAAAGCAAGTCAGAGCTGCATATACGTCAGATAATGTGGCTCTTTAATATTTAATTTACAAAAAGATGTTTAGATTAACTCTCACTAAAGAGCAGAGTTGAAAAATATACAGTTCTCTTAATTCATACTGAAAGAAGTAAATAAGGCTTGTTGGATAGAAGCTGTTTGGGGATTTTTTTTAAAAACCTCTGCCAAATTTATAAGAAAGCGCACTTTAGCAGTTTTTATATTAAAAAAAGGTATCTCTAAATGCATGTAGGCTAAGAGATTCCAAAGGAATCAGTGTGTCAGAACATATTAAATAGTTGTGGGCTTGGAAGATCACGTTTACTTTTAGCGCTTTGATGTTTCTGTACATGTGGGCTCAGTGGACCAGGGTAGGGGCTTTCCCCACCTTTTACTTCCTGTTGGTAATTGTTGTATCTTTCCCCTTCCTTCTGTTTCTCTTTCTCTCTCGGTCCCTGCGTTCTCTATGAAACCCCCACAGCCCTGCCCCTCAGGACTAAGAGCTGAGCTCCGATTGGAGGAATGAAGCGCCGATCCACTCCACTGCAGTGATCAGGGTATGTGTCACTTCTCCCACTAACCTTTCTCTGGTTGTGTACTGTATTTCTCACTGTCTTGTCTTGATGATTCGCCAAAAAAAAAGTTTGAAAGAAGGAAACAATTTTATTCGTCTAGAGGCAATTAGCCTCCGCTACAGTGATGCAAACGATGCCGCCTCTTCATCTGTTAATGTATCTGCTTTAGAGCACCTCCGCTGTCCCTCTGCTCACCTGTGAGAGCACAGAGAGCTGTGATTGGCTGAACACTGCACTACAGCCTGGCTGCTTGCCAGCCGTGCTGCCAGTGGCTGCTGTGCCCTCTGATCAGGAGAGAATGTGACATTTGTGCAGAGGTAATGGAATCTGTGTGCAATTAAATCTCCAACTGTGAAGAAGAGTCCCCCCCCCCATATCTCCCGCCATTCCCAGCAGCAGGGGGGGTCAGGCACTGTGATGAAACCATCCCAGCAGGCCCCTCGCTTCACTATGTTTTTGAATCTCTGTCAGGTTGTTTTCCTTTACTTTTTTCCTCCAGCCTTGCTTCTGTCTGGGAGTAAAGAAATAATTTACTCAGGATCGCGGAAAATTATGGAAGAGTTCGGATCGTCATTTACGACTTTAGTAGGTCTGGATTAAAATGAATTGCTAGGACAAATTGATTTGATTTCCATTCTTTAGGCCACTGCTCAGTTCAATAATGATTTCATTCTATATTAATTTAAGTGCTTCAATATCAATTTACCACAAGTATAACATACTGTTACATGTTTAGTTTCTTGTCTATATGACCAGCCTTGGTAAACCAGTTATAGTATATTTATGAGAAGTAAAATATCAATATTGAGTAAAAAAAGGAGAAACTTGTGTGAACAGCTTGTCAACTTGTTTTTTTTTTTTAATTTTTTAATTTTCCTAAGTTTATAAATTAAGAACTAGTACAATAATTAAGGTGACTGAATCCATTAACTATTCAATTCATAGTGAAAGGTCTTTATTCCATCCATCCATCCATCCATCCATCCATCCATCCATCCATCCATCCATCCATCCATCCATCCATCCATCCATTGGACCTAATGTCCAAAAACCCTGGAAATGTGATCTGAAATAAAATGAATTTAATAGTGAAATTCATTAGAATTATAGTAAAATAGCTGTATATAATATGTGTTTATAATTTGTGAGACTGTCTTGAGAGGAGAAATTTCACGTTAATGTTTGCAGAATGTAAAATCCCGGATGCATTTGTTGAGCAGCCCTCCTGTATGAACTCCTCCTGCATACAGCTGCTGGGTTTCAATGATAGAAGTGTGAACTGTTTTAGCTTGTCGTACATTTTTTGTGTCTGCAGGAGCGACAGTAAGCGCGATAGGAGGAAGGAGAAGCCAGTTCATGCTTGGATGATAAAAAGGTCATAGCTCCCTGCTCCTTTAGCTCGGCTGCACTTCTACTACACTTAACGCCTCATTTGTGGGCTCTGTGGCCAACGGCCTGAGTCTGGGATCTGTTGCCATAAAAGGCAGCTTTCCCCTCTCTGCTGATGGGGCACTTGCTGGTGGTTTAATACCAAACTTCTTCTAGCAGCAGACTCATACCTAATGGATATGCATATCCCCATCAGGGCTGCTCATAATCATAAAAACCCTCTTGTGCTGTTGTGTTTGTTGACCCTGGCTGACAGAGGCAGACATGCAATGCAAGCATTTCCCTTGAACTTGTGTGGGAGTGGTTCCAATCTGTGTTCCTTGTCCACGCAGGGTGGACGGAGGTGCAGGATATCCAGGTCAAGGTTTGTTTAAATCCTCCCTTTTTCCTCACACCCTGTGTTTGTTTGTCTAAAAAAACACAGTTCAGGTTCTTTTGTCTGATCAGCAACAGGACAGAATAGTTCATTTTAATATGAACTAATATTGGAACTTAGTTCAATTGGCTCATGATTTTCTGCTGAAATGTGACTGTAAGCATTACTTTTAGCTTCCTTTGTGTTGCATTTTGTCATGATGAATTAATAATGTCAGAACTGGGTGAAGAGATTGTTGTCTCAGAAAATAAGAGGATCGCAGCTTCTTTTTTTCTGCAGCCAAGGGTTAGTTTGAACCAACAATCAAATAAACCTCCCTGTTTCCTACTGCGGTGTGCCTTTTAATGAAAAACCGCTCCTAACGAGATTTCCCAACATCCCGATGAACAAATTTGGTGCTTTGGTGCATTTTGTGAACAAAAGTGTGGAGAAAAAAAAAGCTCTGGTTGAGGAAGAAGAGAGAAAGGCTTACTCCATTAGAGTCTTTCGAATGGGGAATTAAATCAAACTGACAGATAGATGTGGAAAATTGTTTTAATTGTATAATTATCTTTGGTTAGCCACTTGTGCAGAAAACTGCTGTGATGTGGGTGGAAGAGGCCAGGGAAGAGCGCATTCTGGCCTTTATGTGCTTATTTTGACTTTGTGCAGGAAATGAACAACAATTGGGGGTCCTGAGGATAAAACATAAACACACCCAAACGCGCAGACACTTGCTCTCCCCCCGGGCAGGCTGAAACATGCTCAGTAAGCGGCGTACAAAGCAACACGTCTGGCCAGTGAATCTTCTCAGGCAGTAAGTAGAATGCCTTAAAAACCGTCTGACGAAGCCTGATTTGTTCAGCCTGAAAACATCTCCCCAGTCACTGCTTATGTTCTGAAGACGTATTGCTTAATCTATCCAATCTGACTTCGGATGCGAAGCAAACATAGATGCTGAGTTTTCCATATTCCAAGGAACAATACGGACATAGAGAATATTGGAATTTCATTTAGCGTGTTAGCTGGATGAACAGAGATAAAATCAATGAGCATTTAAAATGTTCGTTGATGAGATGAATCCTAAACGTTGTCAGGGCTTTTGGAGAAGAAACGGGTCCCCTAGCATCACACATCTTCCATCATGCCTAACAGTTAGCACAAGGAGTGTTTTTTTTTCACATGCACATGTTCTGCTTCTAACCAAATCCACCTGTTGTGTTTTGGTGAACAAATAAATAAATATTATTCTAATATAATGAGGGATCAGATCCATTTCAACTCCAAAGGAGTTTGAAGATAACTCCACATTTATTTTTGCGTTGGTAGGAAATAATTGACTTTTCTTTTAGTATCTTTTTGAAAACAGGGGGATACCATTTACTATATGTCTCAATGAAAACCTGTTAAGGATCTACTCAACAACTTTCTACTTTTATTTCAAGATATTGGTGCTATAGAGTAAGATTCTAGTGTAAAGATCACTTTCCTTATGCATCTGCATCATGCATTCCTCCGAAGAATGATTGGGCACATCAGTGGCAAAAACGAGCAGACCGAAGACACAGGAATAAACAGTACAAAATGAATTTTAAAGTAAAGCTGTACAGCATCAAGGGAAAGCTGAATCAGAAAGGCAGAATAAATCTGTTATATTAAGTAGAAGGCAGTTAAGTAGTGTTGTGCCGATGCCATTTTTTGGCCACGATACCGACACCCGATACCTGGCTGTGCAGTATTGGCCGATACCACCTGTCTGAAATTGATGTTTGTGTGTGTATATATATGAAGAACTGCATACTGCTTGGATTTAAAATAATTGCCATCTTGGCTTTTTCAAGCTGTTGCCTACCTTTGTGAAGCAGAAAAAAGACTTGTTCAAAGTGAATCCAGTAGAGCTTTTTATTGCCTACCTGGAATGGGTGACAATAGTTGAAGAAACTTATGGCTCTCAAAATGGTATCTGTGCCCTATTTGTTGATACTCGCCGATAACGATGCCAGCATTTTAGTCTAGTGTTGGGGCCCTGTCCTATACTGGTATCAGTATTGGTGCAACACTAGTTTTAAGTCAGCTGGTTAAGTTCAAATCATCTTATCAGCAAAGCCATTTTAGTCTGTTAATCAGGCATAAATGTAGCTCGATTAAAGAATGACACTTATTCAGTATGTAGTTTAGGTGTCATAGGTCCAATTTGCTTCAGGATCAACCAAGAATACCAAGAAGCCATGACACCTCTGCCATATAAATATCTTGAGTCCCTTTTTCAGGTTAGATTTTAGCCAATGACACAAAAATTGTAAAGATGCCCTCAAAAAAGAGCAAAAAGCCAAACCTTTTCCAAAATATTCAGGATAATACACACACCCGAGAAGACCCTGGACCTACTGAGCTGTAACTCCCACATAAAACAGGTGGGCTGGCAAGTAAAACATATTATTAAATTGGTTGATATGATTTTTGTGTTTGTTTTTCTTTTTTGTTATAAAGAAATCAAGATTTGCTTTACAAAAAATATTTGCATTCAAACAGCTTTTGTTTGTAAAATGTTAAACTTCAGACAAACGGACCAGTTTGTTTAAGTCCATTCAGACGCAGTGTTCAGATTTTACTTATTATCAAAGGTGAACACCTGTGTTTAGCTACAGGGTTTAAAGATTTCAGTATTTATAGAATCGATTGGTATGCAGCTGTAAAAATTTTGAACAAACACAGACTTTGTCGGTACATGTCAGTTTTTAATTTCAGTATCGTTTGGAGTTTGCAGTTTGCTAAATGGCCTTAAAGGAAGCCTGGATGCTTCCTGCAGTCTTCTCCTGACAGAGTGGTTACTCTGAGATATTTCAGGTCAAACGCTGATGTGCTGCAGTCAGCAGCTGCATGCAATTTTCATTTCAACTCATTCAAGTGTAATAAAACAATGCAGACGTGCTGGAGGACAGTGGGCCCTCCTCCAGCAAATCTTCTGTAAACGCTGCTGTGGGACCTAATCTAACTGTATGGTGTGTTATTTATTTATTTGGGATTCTCTCTGTTTTTATAATAATTCAATTGGGTTATTATAATACCAAACAGTCTGTTTGTACCTAATATAATAACAGAAAATCTCACACCAATCTACTGAGAGTGTTGCAATACGAAGCCTTTTACGTACCAAGAGCTTGTCGTGTCTTGGTTGTTACCTTCGTCATGCTCTGTTGTTCACTTGCATCTCCTGTTATAATGCTCAGGGGATTAG